GCTCCTCGCTCCCGACTGAGACTTTACAGGTTTGGAATAGTATAGTCCCGCGCTGACTGGAGCTCCGCCCCCTTCTTAGAAAGGACTCTCGTGATGAGGCCATCAGCTGCAGCTGCTAACGAGCGGCAGGTGTCGCAGTCCCTTCAGTGACCCAAAGTACCCCGTATGACCACACACACAGGAAGGAGGAAGGAAAACCACCGAAAACACAACATACGGAAAAATAAACATGTACATTAGCTTACTTAGAGTCGGGCCATGACGGTAACCTTCACTAAAGCTGTTTCTGTGCTGTGATGAGCTCTGATGTTGGAGATTGGCCTTTATTACAATTTGTTACATGTTTTTGCTTTTATGACGCCAGTAACTCGTCAAAAGATTTTGCAACTTGCCCATAAACAAAGAAATGATCAATTTCTATGGTGGGTTTATGTGAACATTGAAAGAGCGAGCAATGAGGAAAAACATCTAGAAAAATGCATTTTAAAAACGTTACACATTCATTTTCATGAAGGAAAAAAGTATTTGATCCTCTGTTGGTAATCAGAGGTCAGGCGTGTCGTGCAGTTGCAAGTTTTGCACACATCATGTTTGCAGATCCTCTTCAAGTCACAAATGTTTTTGTGGCTGATGAACTAAAACCTTCGGCTCCCTCCACAGATTTATGTGTAGCTTCTATTATAATGTGACTGCAGGGCTCGCAAAATCTCAAAATCTCTGGTAGCCCTTCGGGCAGACACTTTAAGTTTTGGTAGCCCAAAATAAATTTAAGTAGCCTAAAAAAAAAGAGGCCAATTTTTTGATTGACTTAAAACACAAATTACAACAACTATAAAAAGAAAAATACAATCATCAACTCAAATACTTGGTTCTAATCGAACAGACATTTCTATGAACTTGTAAGAACTGTAGAACATGGATCAGTCTGTGTCACATCCTGAATCCTGAAAGAACCAAGATCGAGGCCGTTTTGCTTTGTTTGCAAAGGCTGCTACATTTTGCCAAAGGTAGTTCACTCTTTGCAACATCACGCTGTTCTAAACAGCTTTTTCTTCTGCGTTTCTTCTGGACTTCTTCTTGTGCTTGGTTTA